ATTGTAAAAATTTGAAAATTGATTAATAATAAACTAGTCACAATGCAAATAGGTTTATTTTAAATAATTTTACAACCTTCAACATACTCATACTTAGAAATCTAGCCTAAATATTAAATTCATTTTATGTCAGTGGGAGTTAGAAAATCATGTCTATAGGTGTTATTTCAAATGTTTTGACTTTTCAATCACCTAGAAATCATGTTCATAGGAAGTATCAACTAATCTCTAGCATGCTAGTAACTAAAATAGTATTTTAATTTCTGCCACTATTTTTCAGCATGTTAAATAAGTAAATTCTGTTATGACTCTCCTGTCTTTATTAAAGTGCTTTAACATTAATATAATCTGCTATTAAGACAAATCAAATAAATCCTCTATTGCATGTTTTTATTTTAAAATTCGTCCTGATTAAAATCATGCCTGAAATTAATTATTTTCAGCATTTTACTTGTCACTTAAAGTAATTTCTGAACTAATAATGCAATATGCTACTTTTAAAAAAACAAAAAAATAATTTGATGCATTTAACAAACTGCTTGACTTTTAAATAAATATATTTTACAGTGATAATCTCTACCCAGTTATTGGCTACATTAATGTTCTGCCCCTTTTTTATAAAGTCGTCAAACTCATTGTTTAATCCTCCTTTCAAATTAGGTTGATTATGACAATTTTTTAAAATTTATATAAGCATCATATCCTAACCTATCTTTAGTGAGAAAGTCAAAGGAATTGCGAGGTCTTATTTCAATTTTTAAATTAAGTCGACGCGCCCCCAGGAGTACCACCTATACCCAAGATCTTTCAAAGGGATTATGTGTATTTATATGTAAATATTTATGTGCTTCTATGTAAACTAATTTTTTTTAATTGTCTTCAAAATATAAAGTATTACTAATTTTCTAAGACTGGCCTCAAATCAAATTGTTTCTATAGTGGAGGAGCACGATTAACACTAACGTGACATCATCCCTATAAAGAAACAAATATTTTTAAAAAAAATATTCTATTCAAAACTTTCTTAATTTAAAAGCTTTATTCTTTTAACATTTTATTCCTGTTAGGGGTAGTTTATAAATTAAAATTGGATTATCCTCTATATTTAATTGTGTAATTTCAATCTTCTCGCTTATCTAATATAATTTTTTATGTTTAATCTTATATGATCACCTAGTTTTGCATGCTTATCTAACCATTTAGAATAATCACATGATCTTAGTTGTTTAATATTCATTTTTATTGTTTTTTACCTAGTTTGTCATGTTAATTAACTAAATAATAAAATAAAGTAATCATATTTGTTACTTATAACCCCCATAAAAATTGCATGAGATACGGTCGAGACCAACACTTATGGACCTCGAGGGATGCCTAACACCTTTCCCTTGAGGCAATTTCAACCTTTACCCTGATCTCTGGTTCATTGACCTTTAGTTAGACTTAGTAAGGTTAGATAGGTTCCCTAACACACCTTGATTTGTTAGGTGACAACTCTTCAAACAACAAAACCCAAAAGAGTTGTTAGTTCATGATTAAAATCCATTTTGAGAAAAATAAATTTTAAATGATTACAACGAATAAAGATGATTTATCGATATGATTGTAATCATTAAAATTTATTAAATATAAATTTATAAAATGATTCGGATTATATTGAACTCATGAATATATTAATCCAAATAAATGTTGTGGATTGATATAATTGAGTTGAATATTTAAGTCCAATAAATATGGATTTAATTAAAGTCTAAATTAATTGATTTGGGCTACATTGGATGAACCCAATTTGTTAAACCCAATCTCATCTCATTCTAGAGCCCATCTTGGCGCCACGTGTGCAGATGATGTGGCATGCCAAGTCAAATAAGAAAATCAATAGAATCATGACATATGTCAAAGATGACAAGACCGCTTCATAAAGCTCAAATGCCATGTCACTTCAATCTGATTGGCTGAATGGAATCCTATTCTAAAACTATAAATAGGGGTCCTCATAATTCAGAAAGGAGACAGAAAATTCTAAACAAGAAGCTAGAGAAACTCTGTGGTACAAACACCATTTAATTCTCTACAAAGCTACAAGTTTAAGAATTCAAGCATTCAAGTTCAAGAACAATCAAGATCAAGACCACCGAATTCAAGAACAAGCTCGAAGCCCTTGAGTTCAAATAAAAGTCAAGATCAAGATAAAGTTCAAGTTCAAATTAATCATAGATTTAAGAACAAGATTTAAAGCCCTTGAATTTATATTTGAAAAGGCGAATTCAGAGGAATTATAGAGATTGTAAAACTCGCACTTGAAATAATAAAATCGATTGTTGCTATAATTTTCTGTTCTTGATTATTGTTTTCTCGTCGCGAATTTTATTGTCTACAAATTTTGGTACGCCCAGTGAAACAATCTCTATCTCTCATCTCATCTTTTTAAACGTCAAAGAATATCAAGATGACTTCCATGAACAACACTCTCGATCAACTGCCTCTAAGGTCACTAGCTCCAAGTTCTCTAATGAAGTTGAAGACATCCATGGTGTTACCTTTGGAAGTTTTGTAGTTGTTACGAGAAGCAAGGCTGCTACACTAGGACAACAAACGCTTCAAGTGTCGTCTGCGTCAACTTCTATTTTTGGGTCTTCGACTCCAAAAGGAGCAAGTTCCTCCACAAATGCTCTAGAAAGAGGAAGTAGTGTTGCTGAAAAGATCAAGAAGACATTGGCTCTACTTGAGCAATCTGGTTTCAAGAACTCTACCACAAGGGAGAACTGTGATTCAACTTATAAATCATCTCCACGTATATCGCGTAACGTGAGTCCACTGAAAATTAACTTACGTGACAACCCATGTTACTCTTCTGCATCTCCGATGATCATGCAAACGATGGTGACTGCTGCTTCCTCTCCTGAGGAACAACTCACAAATCTGACGAAGTTGGTTGAAGGATTGACGAAGCATGTACAACACCAAGAATCTCAAATTGACAACTTGATGGAAAGGATAGAAAGACTTTTAGATGGAGATGCGATCCATGCACTTGGAAAGGGCATTGAAGTTCAATAAATCGAAGATCCTGCTAAGAAAGCCCCGTTTGTTAAAGAGATGCCAGTTTCTTCTGAAGGAACGATCCCACTCGATTGCTTGAAGGAGTTTATTGAAGGCACTATCAAAGATAAGTATGAAGTCTCCACCAAGTCTTCTCATATGTATGCTAAGCCATACACTACTAGGATTTATAACTTTAAAATGCCTGCCGGTTATCAACCTCCCAAATTTCAACAATTTGAGGGAAAAGGAAATCTGAAACAACATGTCGCGCACTTCGTGGAGACATGTAATAATGCTGGAACATATGGATACTATCTTGTCAAACAGTTTGTCCGCTCTCTAAAAGGAAATGCCTTTGATTGGTACACAGATCTCGAACCTAACTCTATTGATAGTTGGGAGCAACTAGAACATGAGTTTCTCAATCGCTTCTATAGCACAAGGCGCACGGTAAGCATGGTAGAACTCATGAATACTCGCCAAAGAAAGGATGAACCGGTCATAGATTTCATAAATCGATGGAGGAACGCGAGCCTAAATTGCAAGTACATGCTTAGTGAAGCTTCTGCAATCGAAATGTGTATTCAAGGAATGCACTGGGAGCTTTTTTACATCTTGCAAGGAATAAAACCAAAATCTTTCAAGGATTTAGCTACTCGCGCTCACGATATGGAGTTGAGCATGTCATCTGCCGGAAAAGATATGACTATTGTCCATAATCTCGCAAAGGAAGGGACAAGCAGGAACCCAAAAGATGGAGCAAGTTTCTGCCTAGAAATGACAACAAAGAATCCATGAGTGTAAATGTGTCACCCGCAAAGTTCACCACGAATGAGGGCGTAAAATAAAATGTGAGAACGACTTTCCAAGCACGTTCAAATCAAAAGTCGACGCTAACGGAGATGCAAGGAAAAAAGTATCCCTTCTTGGACTCTGACGTTTCTGAAATTTTTGATGAATTGCTTGAGTTAAAGCTCATTGACTTGCCAGAGATGAAGAGACCCGATGAAGCTGGAAAAACTGATGACCCAAATTATTGCAAGTATCATAGACTTGTGAGTCATCCTCTTGAAAAATGTTTTGTCTTTAATAATAGAGTGATGCGATTGGCTAACGAAAATAAAATTATCCTTGATGATGAGAAGGATAGTTCTAACCATACCTCTATCACGTTTGGGTCACTGTATCCGGTCCAAATATATATCTCTGAAAAGCATAAAGAAGAGCCAGTAGACCAGGACGTTAACATTGATGTTGATGAGGGTTGGATTCTTGTAACTAGGCAAAGACGCAACAAGTCAAGCTTACGAAAAGAATTATCTGAGCAACCGGTTAGAGAAAAAATGGTGAAGAAATCAGATAAGCAAAAATCAATCAAGCGCCCCAAAATGGCAAAGGTTGAAGTGCATCACTACCAAAAACCTCGACGTCTTGTGACTCTAGAGGAATTCTTGCCAAGCTCGTTCGACACAAAGTCTACTCAAGGTAATGTCGAGGCATCATGTTTCAATATGGATAAAGGACAAACAATAAAGGTGCCTCCTACTGTAATAGAAGGAACAACGAGTGAACCCTCACCAAAAGTGTCTCCTGGTGAAGAAGAAAAAGAAACAAGGGAAATCTCAGAAATGATGTCTCTTTCATCTTCTGAAAAAATTTATTGAACTTTCTTTCCAAGAAGCACATGTCTGTGATAATAAAATCACATTTACAAATAACGATCTTCTATTTGGTGAAGCACTACATAATCGTCCTTTGTATATGGTGGGCCATGTGCTAGAGAAGAAAATAAATAGAATCTTAATAGATGAAGGATCTGGAATCAACATTTTGCCTATCCACACATTGAAGGAACTTGGCATCACGACTGGGGAACTTAGTGAAATTCGTCTGTTGATACAAGGATTTAATCAAGGCGGCAGAGGTCCATAGGCTCTATTAAATTAGAGATCTACATGGAAGATATGCGATCAAGCGCATGGATGCATGTGATTTACACAAAGACATCATACAATATATTACTTGGTAGGCCTTGGGTACATGAGAATAGAATTGTCTCATCTTCTTACTATCAATGTTTGAAATATCTTGAAGGTGGAATTGAAAGAAAGATAGTTGCAGATGATAATCCTTTCACCGAAGTGGAGACACACTTTGCTGATGCGAAATTCTATATGAGAAGTTATGTTGTTAAAGGGGTCAAATCCAATGACGTCAAATCAATCAAGATTGATAATATCATAAGCAAGAGAATTGATGCAGCTATCGAAAAGGTGAAAATTGACACTAAAGACTCTTGCCCCATTCTTAATGAAGGGAAGATCCTGTCTTCAAAGAAGAAGCAGACTTCTAGGCTTTGCTATATTTCAAAAGCGAAGAAAGAACAAGATAAACCATCTAACCTTGAAGAAAATGCATTAAGAGGGCTAGCTCTTCCTATCAGATGGATTGATGCAATAAACTTGTCTTCAAAGTTGCTAGAGAAGTCAGTCGCTCAAGATCAAGTGCTAGATATGGCTCTCCCTACAAAGCGCACAAGAGAAGGTTTTGATCCCAATGCCTACAAGTTATTTGTGAAGGCAAGATACAACCCTAGCGAGCCATCAACGCTAGGGAAACTCCCATCAAAAGATACAACTAGGAAAATGCGTGAAGGCCTAGGTTATACCCAACCGTCGCCAATTCACATTTCCATAAGAAGGGCCAGTAATAATCATATAACTTTTGAAGAGGATGTCACTGCTTCTAATAAAAAAAAACCTTCTGTCTTTGATCGACTTGGTGAAGCGACAACAAGAATTTGTGTGTTTAAGAGATTAGGTCCTCTGAAGAAGAATAACAAGAACCTTAGAAGTTATTTAAAAGTTACAACGCCTGCTTCACATTTGATTCAAAAGGATTTTAGAAGTTTGATTCCTTCTAGGATGAGGCGACGAGTGGAACTTATGGTTTCTTGTAAAGAGGAACTCAAGGCAAAGGTTCGTACTATGGTTTACACCAAAGAGCACGAGGAAGATGAAGAAAGTGTAGGTTCCTCAAATCATGTTACAATCCAAAATGAGTGTGATTCTTTGCCTCAAAAGAAGATTGAGGAAGGGGTAGAAGATATTTTCTCGTGTGGTCATATATCGGTCAATGACAATGATCCTGTGGAAGAGGAAGATGCTAAAGATGCTCCACCAGAACTTGAAGAAGGAGTAAAGATCACAATAGATCCTTTGAAGGAAGTTAACCTTGGCACTGATGAAGATCCGAAGCCAACTTACTTGAGTGCGTTTCTAGAAATTGATGAAGAAGTCGCTTACATGAATATACTCAAAGAATATAGAGATGTATTCGCTTGGAGTTATAAAGAAATGCTTGGATTGAATCCTAGAGTAGCGGTCCATCAATTGGCAGTCAAAAATGGTTCTCGTCCAGTTAAACAAGCTCAAAGACGTTTTGGACCAGACTTGATTCCATTAATAGAAAATGAAGTTAATAAACTCATTGAGACAGGCTTTTTCGTGAGGTCAAATATCCTACATGGATTTCAAGTATTGTTTATGTGAGGAAGAAGAATGGTCAAATTCGAGTTTGCGTTGACTTTAGAGATCTCAATGATGCATGCCCTAAAGATGAGTTTCCTCTTCCGATTCCAGAGTTGATGATTGATGCCACCACTGGTTATGAGGCAATGTCGTTGATGGATGGTTCTTCTGGATATAATCAAATCCGCATGTCACCAAAAGATGAAGAACTCACTGCATTTCGCACGCCAAAAGGTATTTATTGCTACAAAGTGATGTCATTTGGTTTAAAGAATGTTGGTGCCACATATCAAAGGGCTATGCAAAATATCATTGACGACTTTCTCCATAAAAATGTTGAATGTTATGTTGATGATTTGGTAGTAAAGTCGAGGAAGAGGGGTGATCATTTGAAAGACATAAGGATGGTATTTGAGTTACTCCGAAGATATCAACTAAGGATGAATCCATTGAAATGTGCCTTCGGAGTTACTTCCGGCAAGTTCCTTGGATTTATTGTGAGACATCGAGGAATTGAAATTGATCAAGCCAAAGTCGATGCAATATCAAAGATGCCTGAACCTCAAGATATTCATGAGTTAAAAAGTCTCCAAGGAAAGTTAGCCTACTTGAGAAGGTTCATGTCAAATTTAGTGGGGAGATGTCAACCATTCAGTCATCTCATGAAGAAAGGTACTCCTTTAAATTGGGACCAAACATGTAGCGAAGCCTTTAAAAGTATCAAATCGTATCTAGCGAAACCTCCGGTTTTGGCAGCCCCTATACCTGGAAAGCCATTGATACTCTACATTGCAGCACAAGAAAGGTCTGTAGGAGCCCTGTTAGCTCAAGAGAATAGTGAAGGCAAAGAAAATGCTCTTTATTACATAAGTAGAACGATGACGCCAAATGAGCTGAATTATTCGCCAATTGAAAAGTTATGCTTGGCACTGGTCTTCTCAATTCAAAAGATGAAGCATTATTTTCAAGCTCATGTTGTCCGCCTTATTTCTAGAGCAAATCCCATCAAGTTTGTTATGTCAAAACCTGTCCTTAGTGACCGACTAGCAAGATAGTACCTCCAACTCCAACAATTTGAGATTATGTACATCCCTCAAAAATCCGTGAAGGGACAAGCACTAGCGGATTTCTTAGCAGACCATCCTATACCAAATGATTGGGAGTTAACTGATGAGTTTCCTGATGAAGATGCGATGTTAATTGAAGTTCAATCTCCTTGGAAAATGTACTTTGACGGGGCTGCACATCGCAACAGAGCTGGTGCTGGCGTGGTGTTCATCACTTCACAAGAAGAGATTCTACCATTCTCTTTTACTCTAAAATAATGTTGCTCCAATAATGTCGCTGAATATCAAGCACTGATACTTGGACTTGAAATGGCTGTTGACATGAAACGATTGCATTTACAGGTCTTTGGTGACTCTCAATTGGTGATTAATCAACTCTTAGGAAGTTATGAAGTAAAAAAGCCTAAATTGCGACCTTATCATGATTATGCTCAAAAGTTTATAAGATGGCTTGGGGATGTAACCCTTCAACATGTGCGTCGAACAGAGAATAAGAAAGTTGATGCATTGGCTACTCTAGCTTCAACGCTAACCCTTCCTGATCAAATGCAAGTAACTGTCTGTCAAAAATGGATAGTACCACCGTCAAATGAGGAAGAATATATTGAAAATAAGCTTGATCATATCGTCGCCATTGTTGAAGCTCCGAAGGAAGATTGGAGACAACCCATCATTGACTACCTATGTTATGGGATACTTCCAAAAAATCCAAGAAGAAGGACTGACATACGTCGTCGTGCACCTCATTTTCTTTACTACAAGGATACATTATATAGAAGATCATTTGGGGGTATGTTATTACGATATTTGGGAGAGAAAGAAGCGATTCAAGCTCTGCAAGAAGCACACTTAGGAGTATGTGGATCACATCAATCTGGACCAAAACTTCATTTTCACATAAAGAGGATGGGGTATTACTGGCCAACCATGGTTAAAGATTGCTTATATTATGCTAGAAAATGTGAAGCTTGTCAATTTCATGCGAATTTCATTCATCAGCCACCCGAAGTTTGTCAATTTCATGCGAATTTCATTCATCAGCCACCCGAAGTATTGCACCCAACCATCGCATCTTGGCCATTTGACGCTTGGGGACTGGATATTGTAGGACCATTACCAAAGTCTTCTGGTGGACATTTATACATCTTGGCTGCAACTGATTACTTTTCAAAATGGGCTGAAGTTGTCGCTCTTAAAAGGTGAAGAAAGAGAATGTTGTAAATTTTATCCGAGTAAATATTATCTATCGCTTTGGCATACCTAGATATATAATAACAGACAATGGCAAACCATTTGATAACAAGTTAATGAACAAGATTTGTGATCTTTTTGACTTTAAGTAGAGTAAATCTTCTATGTACCATGCTGCCGCTAATGGTCTTGCTGAAGCATTCAATAAGACTCTATGCAACCTGCTCAAGAATGTTGTCTCCAAATCCAAACGACATTGGTATGAAAGAATGGAAGAAGATTTGTGGGCATATAGGACAACATATCGCACACCAACTCAAGCAACACCATGTTCACTTGCTTTTGGAGTTAAAGCAGTCCTGCCACTCAAGCGTCAAATACCCTCCTTAAGACTTGATATTCAAGAAGGGCTCACTGAGGAAGAAAATGCTTGATTGCGTCTTGCTGAGTTAGAAGCACTTAATGAAAAGAGGTTAGAAGCCCAAAAAACCTTGAATGTTATCAAGCTCGTCTATCTCGTGCTTTAAATAAAAAGGTTCGCTTATGTTGCTTTCAAGTTGGAGATCAAGTTCTTGTGGTAAGATGACCAATCATTATTTCGCACAAGTCTGGGGGCAAATTTACCTCAAAGTGAGATGGACCATATGTCGTACAAGAAGCATATTCAAATGGTGCTTACAAGCTTGTTAATGCTGATGGCTAAAGGATCGGTCCTATTAATGCCAAATTTCTAAAGAGATACTATCCTTGAAGGAAGATGATGCTCCTTAAGGTACGATCCTAAACTGCATGTCACTCCTGGCCCGCAAGAGTATAAACTATGTATGGCACAACCATAAAAAAATATCACTCAAATCCCCAGAACTACGTTGTGACTTGATCCTCTTTATTGAGGTACGTAGGCACTTAGAACCATATTCTAAGTTCAGTTGCATGAGTTTCAAAAAAAATGTTCCCACTTGATCTATTGGATGAAAATCAAAGCGATATATATTTTATTTTTATCTTTTGTCTCATCAAACTTAAGACTTGCACGAAGTATTGATGGGTCTATGGAAGGGGCAAACCCTTACAAAATATGAATCTCTTATTAGTACGGTGGAAGTCTTTAAATTAGATCAAGTATGAAAATTGGAGTCTTCATATTCTTCGAGTTTATTATTTGAAGTATCCAAATTCTCTAAGTATACAAGTTGAAGTATTCAAATACTCTAAGTATGAAGGTAAGACTTCAAGTATATAAGTAGAAGTCTCCAAATGCGTATGCAATTGAATTCCATGCCTAAAGGTGCGCGAGATTTGTCCCTTTGCACCTTAAGCTAGCTTTGTTGCGGATTATCCCTCAATAGATCATTGAATTTCTATGTTTGAAGGTGGACAAACTTGTCCCTTTGCACCTTAAGTTGACTTTTTCACTGGTGTATATTTAAAAGGATCTTTAAATTTTTCATGCCTTAAGGTGGACAAACTTGTCCCTTTGCACCTTAAGTTGACTTTTTCACTAGTGTATATTTAAAAGGACCTTTAAATTTTTCATGCCTTAAGGTGGACGATATTTGTACTTTTGCACCTGAATCTAGATTTGTTGCGAGCTTATCCTTCAACAAATCTTTAAATTTCTATGCCTTAAGGTGGAAAAACTTGTCCCTTTGCACCTTAAGCTAGAGTTCCGACGGATTTATCTTTAAAAGGATCTTTAAATTTCCATGCCTTAAAGTGGACAATATTTGTCCCTTTGCACCTTAAACTGGTCTTTTCACGGGTTTATCCTGTCTCAAGTTGGTTAAGCATTCAAGACCTTGTAACACCTTGAGTTTATCTTCAAGGCGAGAGCGTTACATGGTATCCTATAAAGCTTCAAGTTGGTTAAACATTCGGAACCTTGTAACACCTTGAGATTATTTTCAAGGGGGAAGCGTTACACGGTATCCTATTAAGCTTCAAGTTGGTCAAGCTTATCCTTCAACGAATCTTTAAATTTCTATGCCTTAAGGTGGACAAACTTGTCCCTTTGCACCTTAAGCTAGAGTTCCGACGGATTTATCTTTAAAAGGATCTTTAAATTTTCATGCCTTAAGGTGGACAATATTTGTCCCTTTGCACCTTAAACTGGTCTTTTCACGGGTTTATTATGTCTCAAGTTGGTTAAGCATTCAGGACCTTGTAACACCTTGAGTTTATTTTCAAGGCGGGAGTGTTACACGGTATTCTAGTAAAGCTTCATGGTCAAACATTCAGGACCTTGTAACACCTTGAGGTTATCTTCAAGTCGGGAGCGTTACATGGTATCCTATTAAAACTTCAAGTTGTTCAAGCATTCGGGACCTTGTAACACCTTGAGTTTATTTTCAAGGCGGGAGTGTTACACGGTATTCTAGTAAAGCTTCATGGTCAAACATTCAGGACCTTGTAACACCTTGAGGTTATATTCAATGCGGGAGCGTTACATGGTATCCTATTAAAGCTTCAAGTTGGTCAAGCATTCGGGACCTTGTAACACCTTGAATTTATTTTCAAGGCGGGAGCGTTACACGGTATTTTAGTAAAGCTTCATGGTTAAGCATTTGGGACCTTGTAACATCTTGAGGTTATCTTCAAGGCGGGAGCATTACACGGTATTTTAGTAAAGCTTCATGGTTAAGCATTCGGGACTATGTAACACCTTGAAGTTATCTTCAAGGCGGGAGCGTTACACGGTATTCTAGTAAAAGCTTCAAGTTGGTTAAGCATTCGGGACCTTTTAAAACCTTGAGGTTATTTTCAAGGCGGGAGCATTACACGGTATTCTAGTTAAGCATCAAGTTGGTTAAGCATTCAAAATCATCTAGAAAGATTCTGAAGGTGTTAAATTTCGAATTTTGGATATGTTAGAGATCGAAAAGTCTAGTTTCTGAAAAATCAAACGGTTCATGATTTTGATTTTTCTACAATGAGATATGAATTTTCTACGACGAACATGTCAGGCTGTAAAAAAAGTGACGAATCTTTAGTATGACAGAATCTAGAGCTAACTTCAAAAAGTCATCTTGAAAGATTCTGAAGGTATTAAATTTTAAATTTTGTATATGTTAGAGATCGAAAAGTGTAGTTTTTGAAAAATCAAACGGTTCATGATTTTGATTTTTCTACAATAAGATATGAATTTTCTACGACGAACATGTCAAGCTGTAAAAAAGTGACGAATTTTTAGCATGCCAGAATCTATAGCTAACTTCAAAAAAATCATCTAGAGAGATTCTGAAGGTATTAAATTTTGAATTTTGGATATGTTAGAGATCAAAAAATCTAGTTTCTAAAAAATCAAATGGTTCATGCTTTTGATTTTTCTACAATAAGATATGAATTTTCTACGACAGACATGTCAAGCTGTAAAAAAGTGACGAAAATAAATAAAAAGGAAGGAAAATTACCTTGAGTATGCCCTTTTCGGCGTAGGCTCATAATCCGTAATTGAAGATAAAATTATGGAAGACAATGTATCTATTTATAGATGTCATGTGGTGGAATCCTTCTCCTAGTTCAATTACAATTTCTTTTTGGCTTGGGCAATAAAACATAATATGAATATGAAATTGAGTAGGATTACAATTCCTAGTTCAATTACAATTTCTTTTTGGCTTGGGCAATAAAACATATATATGAATATGAAATTGAGTAGGATTACACCTAATTGAATTATGATTTCCTTTTGGTTTGTGCAATAAACCATATATAGGAATATTGAATTGAGTAGGATTACAATTGTTAATTCAATTATAATTCATTTTTAACTAAGGTGAATTTAGTAACCGGTTATTTCTTCAAGCCTAGTCTCTAAAAGATTAAATATCTCGACAAGACTTGAAGCAGGGGGCATTTGTAATCATTTAAAATTTATTAAATATAAATTTATAAAATGATTCGGATTATATTGAATTCATAAATATATTAATCCAAATAAATATTGTGGATTGATATAATTGAGTTAAATATTTAAGTCCAATAAATATAGATTTAATTAAAGTCTAAATTAATTGATTTGAGCTACATTGGATGAACTCAATTTGTTAAACCCAATCTCATCTCATTCTAGAGCCCCTTTTGGCGCCACGTGTGCAGATGATGTGGCATGTCAAGTCAAATAAGAAAACCAATAGAATCATGACATGTGTCAAAGATGACAAGCCCGCTCCATAAAGTCCAAATGTCATGTCACTTCAATCTGATTGGCTGAACGGAATCCTATTCCAATTGCAACTCCTCTATTCTAAAACTATAAATAGGGGTCCT